GCCTTGACATGCTTGGTCAAGTCACCGGAGCACTTCTTCACAGAAGATTCCAGCTGGGTCAGGCAACCAAACATGCGACGCCAGACAACACGCTGCTTGTCCAGGCGAGCCTCCTCCAAAGCGCCAGCGGGGATGTCGTCAACGAACTTCTGCATGAACTCCTTGGTCCGGAGAAAGTCAGTTCGCTCCATTCGGAGCGCAGCCCCTTTGCTTTGAGTCAGCAGCCATGTCAGGGATGGCAACTGCTGGGACAATGATTCCGCCTGCTTGGTGTCCACCTGCTGGTCCTCAGAAGCCTTGACCTCGTCCTTCGCGTTGTGGGCCGCCACCTTCGAAACCAAGGTTGAAGGATCCATCCAAGAGGTGGCCACTTCCAAGACGGCATCCAAAGCATCCTTGTAAAGCTTCCTGGTGGTAACATCCGTTGGGTTCGCTGGGGTCACGCTTGTTGCCTCAGCATCCACAGCTTTCTTTGCTTCATCAAGTCTTGCCTGAAGGCTGGCAAGCTTCGCCACATACTGCTTGGAAGCCATCTCAGAGAAAGCAGCTCGAGCAGCTGAGAGGTTACCGTTCTTGCGAGGCTTCTTATTGCCTGATGAGCCCCTCGCCTCCGCCTCATCTTCACTGGCATCCAAAGTCTCGGCTTTACGCTTCTTTGTTGGACTGACCTGCTTGACCTGCACCTCTGCGGCTTCCTCAGGGCCAGGCTCCATTGCATCTTCCTTGTCCATGTTCATGGTGCTGAGTCCGCCGAAGAAGGAGTTGCTGTGGTCGAGCCCAGCCTCGAGAGCGTGCGCTCTGAAGGCATCCGTCTCCCAGTCTTGGGGGTTCTTCTTCTGCTTTGACTTCTCCACGGATGAGCCCTGAATAAACTGAGTCTTCGAGTTCTCTTCATATTCATAGGCTGGGAGCCAAAGCCGAATTGCACCCTGGTAGCCATCATAATCCCTTTTGTATGGCCCAGCAACCTTGCGTTTCCATTCCTCCTCCATCTTCTTCTCATCACGGCCGAACTTCTTTACTTGACGAATGACCCATTGGCGCTCTTCGAATGGACGTGTCTGGACTCCTCCTTCTTCTGAACGAGGACCCCGAACTTCTGTTCCCATTCGACGAAGTCTATGAGAGGGGCACGGGCGAACATCGCCAGACCAATGGACTTCTTGGCCATAAACTCTATCTGGGAGTTGGCGAACTCAATGTCACGGCACTTGTCGGAGAACGCCTTCAGCCCCTCCGGACCATACTTCTTTGACACCTGGTTCCTTGCATTGTCCAAGTGCCGGTTGTGATGGGCACAATGCCTGCGGCCAGCCTTGCAATCACACTCACACCCTGCAAAGCCACACAGCTTGACCTTGCCACCGCGCTTGTCCCCAACGCTGGATCCGGCCACTGAGCTTGACTTCTTGGAAGCTGAGCTACTCTCAGGAGCACCTGTTGCTGACTGACCCTCATCACAAGAGAAGTCATCCATGATCGAGGCAAATGTGATTGCCACTGCACAACTACAGAGCACAAAAATCCTGACATAGAGCGCCTTGCACTTTGCATGCAATGCTACAACCAACTCTCACAACTCAGACACGCATACATTCTTTTGCTGAGCCAGCACAACTGTAATTTGACAGGCTTGGGCAGGTAATTAAGCATGAAAACCCTGACCTCAGTCAGGAATGCTGCGCTGATTTCTTAGCAAGCAAAATTCGAGCTTGACAGAGAAGATCACAAGGAGTTAAAGTCGAATGCCAAGACATGCGCAACAGGAGTTAAATCGCCCAACTACAAAGCTGCAGCCTATGCCAGGTCTACAACAGCAGAGGTCAAGTCCACAACAACACGCGCAGCCTTTGACTTGCGTGATGGGGCTTCCTCATCACCATCACCATCATCTGCTGCTGGCATTGCTGGAGCCCTTCTTGAGTGCCTTTCTCGGGAAGTCACTCGGCTTGCGCAATACATCATCCACGCAGTGTAGGAAGGCACATGAATAGCATTTCCAGCAAACATGCGAAGTGTATGATCATTGAATGCACGGAACACCTCAGTCAAAGGTGACAGCGGCCGTCCACCACAGAGAGAGTGGTAAAAGTCAATGCCCTGCGCCTGCAGAAGTTCTTGCGACAGCGCAAGACGCTGCAAACCCCAGCTGAAGATACAAGGATGCGTGTTCAGAGACGGTACTTCTGGGCCAGCAGCTGGGCCACACCCTATGTTCTGATTCAAGTCGGCCATGAAATGGCCTGCCACACTTTGACGATCCTTCTTACTTGCCTCATATTGCCCAAGTCGTACCAAACATCCTGGGGGAAGCAAACAGGTGAGATACTCACGCATGTCCATGTCCTCAAAACCTTCAGGCAGGGCTTGATTGCGGCGCTCGGCTTCCAAGGTCACAAATGAAATGATTTCCTCCTGGGTGGCAGCCAAGTACACATCACCTGGAAGCTCGCAAGTAGCACCAAACAACTCTAGGAACTCCTCCTGCTCGTTTGGCCCTCCAATCCAGGCCCAACGACTCTTGTCGAATCCGAAAGAAAACATTCTCGGACGACGCGTCGGAAAGCCAAGCATCTCTGGCCCAGTGATGATGTGTTTCACTGTGTGTGTGCCTGACAGAAGCTGCGCCTGCTGCTGATCCACGGGATATTGCCCTGAGTTTTCACTAAAGTACCAGTCTTCAAGCTGGTACTTGCAAAGCTGCGATCGTTCAGCAGCCCACACAGTATGCACTGCTTGTGTTAAACCAGAACCAACACGTCCCCTACGCTGGCCCAGCTGGCTCCAGTCTGTGCACACAAGCCCTGCTACGCTGCACACGATTGGCTTTTCAGCACCATCACCTAAGCTTGTGACCTCTTCATGCCATGGACCTGGAGCAATAAAGGGCGACCTTGAAGGTGACTTGCAAGAAGAAGAGGTCTCTCCTGCATGTTGCACTGTTCCTGCACTCTGAAGCTGAGCAGCTTGCTCAAGCACGGCACCAGGAAAGGCAGGGCAGCGCCGGCGATGCATTTCACAATAGCACATGGCCTTGGGAGGGAACATTGCGGCGCCCTGCCGGGACACAAACTGCTCAACGAGCATATTGGCTTCCCTGGCTTGATCAAGGTCCATCTCCTTAGTGGGGCTTGCTTCCATGATCCAGTCTCGGTGCACTTCAGGCAACCTGTCCAACACATTGCTGAACACACAGCTTGCGCTTGACTCGTGCAAGCTGCTTTGCATCTTCAAGCACTGCTTCTGCTCTTCACCCAAGTCACAACCACGCACAAAACGAATGTCTTTGATGCTTTTGGGATTTCGCACATGCTTCCTGAGAGCTTGCACTAGGATGCGACTGCCCTCCTTAGGCGCATCATAGCCACTGAAATCTGAACTTACCAGCCAGCCACGCCCCATGTTCTGCATGAGGACAGAAGAAAAGACATCTTCCTGCAAGACTCTCTGAACAAAGGTCTCGTCCCATTTCCCAAGCTGCTCAGCTGTTTGAGGGCCGCTTGTGTCCAAGAAACTGCTCGCTCGACGCGCCAAGTTCATGTGAGGCAGACTTTTCAGAACACACACCACACACATAGGACATATGTTCAAAAAATCTTCTTGGCCACTACCTACCATTCTACATGTGCTGATGTTTGCCAATGTTTGCCCTGCTCACTGCTGCAACAACATGTTCCTGAAAACTGCCTTGTAAAGCTCTCGCATGCTCTCGCAGCCTTCACAACAGCGGGAAAAACAATCCAACATGAACATGTTCGGAAGGCAAGGCTGCATGGCAAAAAAAAAACACAATGTCCTGCAGGCTGGTAGCCCCGCAACCGAGAATGCACTGAATTTGTCATCAGATCTGCAAATGCTGTGAAAATCATGAAGGGCAATCTCAGCTTCAGTGGAAATCACCCAGGCAGCACAGAAGTCATGCAAAACTCTTGGGTTTCTCCAAAACACATGCAAAATCGCTGGGTTCCTCTAAAATGCTCCACGGATCAACAAAAATCGCTTGCAAATCCCAAAACTGGCTGTTTGCTGCTCAAAAACACTGATTTGTCTGCAAATCCAAGCCAAATCTGCAAAAGCCTTAGCATTTGGCTCTTGGGTGGCTACCCAGGCAACTAGGTTTCGTGGAACTTCGTGGAACTTCGCGCGGGGCCCATTTTCCCTCAAAATACCATGGATTTCGAATGATTTTGGCCTTGAAAACTTCGTGCAAACTTCGTGCAACTTCGTGCAAGGGGGTTTTGGGGGGTCTGGGGGGGGTCTGGGGGGGGTCTGGGGGGGTCTGGGGGGGTCTGGGGGCTCCCTGCCCAAAGCCTGGGTTGTGAGTGAAATCCGGTGTGTTTTGAGCAGTTTGGCCTCAACTCGTGGAAAACATGCCCAACAAGTGCAAAATCATGCTCACAATGCTTGATTGCTTGCGTCAAGGCTCAACAGCTGCAACAAAGATGGCTATTCGTGGCAAACCGCTCAAAAACAAGGTTGCTGCTTTCACATGCGCCAGCATGGAGAGTTTCACACAGCAATCAAGAGCAAGAATCAACTGTAGACCCAACTTGCACGCAGAACTGATTGTTGATGGGACTTGGGTGTACATAGTTGTTGTGGAGCACGCAAAAGCACAGTCGTCACATGCCCATCTGAGCAAATGCAAAAGACATGCAATGCAAGCTGCAACTTGGTCACTCACTTGCACAATGTTTTCGGCTCACCCAAAGCTTAGTCACGGGGCTGGTTTGCGGGGATTATGTACATGCGCTGTTGGCCATCTGCATCGGTATAGTTCAGCGGCGGAACTTCGGGAGCGTACTCAAGCTGACCCAATTTAAAGTCACGCTCTGCCTCAGACCATATCTCTGTCAAGTGCTCTTTGGCAGAGAGTGCATGTCTGCCGCGGATCAACCATATCTTGAGCAGCTGCAAAGTCTGCTCTGATGTCCGATTTCGAGTAACATCTTTTAGATGCTTTCGGCATTTCATGTCATTGTGAGCGGGGTGGCCACAGCTCATCTCCCATCCTTGCGGCTCACCATCTTTATAAACTCGGACAAAGTGTCCCATCCCGTAGCGAAAAGAACCTTTCGGGTTGGTCCTTCTCGGCTGCTTCCCCTTGGCCTTGGCGTTTGCTTTCCCCTTGGCCTTGGCTGTTGCCTTCCCCTTGGCTGAAGGCTTTGCTGAAGGAGCAGGACCACTGCTGCAGCTGCTGGCAGCGCTGCTGCTGCTAGAGCTGCTACTACTGCTGGAAGTGCTTGACACACCTGCTCCTGCTTGCGCTGCAGATGAAGCCGCCCTGCCATCTTCTGCTGATTTGGGAGTAGCTGGCGGCGACAGAGATGGTGATGACACTGCTTCCAGCTCAGCTAACAACTCGTCTTCGAAATCATCTGAATTTGCCGTCTCTGCATCATCAGCCAAAGCCTGGCGCTCCGGCTCTTCGATTACTGCAATGTTGTCCACAGCCTCACGATCATTCAGATTTGGAGCAGGCAACATCAGCTTCCGCTTTTTGGCAGCTCTCTTGGCTTTAGCTTTAGGCATAGGAAGCGGCAAAGGCACATCCCACTCATCTGGGTCCACATTCTTGATGGCCAATGATGCTTTGCTGCATCGACTTCTTTTGGATACTGGCCTGCCTTCCACCAAGGCCTGATAGAACCCAGAAGCTTGCCAGTGGGGCACCTCTACCGTGCCTTGCAAAAGCGCCCGCAGGTACCAAACACAAATGGTATCGTCACCTGGTTTGCTGTACCAAAGGAGAGGACCTGACCCAGGAACATATGGTTCCTGTGACTTGTTCTTTTCAACAGTCATATGTGCCCAGCCTTGCTGATCCAGGATTGCGATCAACTCCCAGACTGCGCGGCTCGATGCCTCAATATCCTCTCTTATGGCCAACGCTGCGTGAGGACGCCGTGCACAGTAGCCAGCCTTGATGGCTGCCTCCCCTTTTCCCAACAACAACCATTTCGAGAAACGATCATCTTCTGAGACCCGCTGAAGAAGACCAGCAGACTCCATTGCAGACAAGCAAGCTTTCCTTTCTGGCCCTCTCTCCTGACGAACATCAAGTTCGAAGCCGTGATCCCCATGTTGGCTGACAAGATCTTGCAGCAGCTGCGAAAGCACATCTGCGTATGCTGAGCTAAAACCAGCAGGCATCTCACATCCCCACAAGCCATGCGCCAACACGTCAGCTGTTTCCCATTTGAACATGCACAGCAAGTCTTCGCAAGAAAAGCTCTCCACAGCTGACCCAATAGCTCCAAAAACTCACCTGCAGACAATTCAGGCGCTCTCTTGCCTCGCAATGGACAACGTTCAAAATGTTGCTTCAACTCAGCTGTCAGCTCACCACGATTGGACTGCAGGATATGTGAGTGGCATGGGCATGACTCGGCCCAAAATGTGTGCTTGCGAAGCAGGGAACATACAACCTCCAACATGGAAAGCCACCCCCACCAAGCTGGGTCACTCACTGCCTTAGTGACATCCGCTGCCAAATTCATTGCATCTTGCCTGCGGCCTTCATCAGCCACAGCATCATTTCCTTGCAAATACACCCGCTCATCCCAGCAAGAAACCAAAGCATGCTTTACCTTCAGCAGCTCCGGAATGGAAAACACTACGGTGCCCCAACGACCTGGATGTATCCACCCCTGAAATTCACGGATGTCTGAAGCTAGCTGCGCACCGACACCACGTGAAAAGCATCGCTCCAGCAATTTGGGCTTGCTGTCTCGCTTCCTCAGCAAACGGCAGACCTGCTGAGCAAGAGCTATGTTGTCCTCATAGCGCTGCATTACATCTCCCAGGCCCTTTGTAGCATTGTCGATTACATGCAACAACCCTGGCACAGACAATAAATGCTCGAAGTTTAACTGCACTTGTGGAGGTAATTCGAAATCCTCCTCTGCAATGGGGCCTGCAAGCAATTGCATATCCACGGCTGCAGGGGCTGCGTGGGGATCTTCAAATCCTTCTGCGTCAAAATTTGCATGGGCCTCACGCGCTTGGTCAACTGCCTGCCTAGGCCCAGGCAAGTCTGAACCACGTGGCCCATTAAGAAGCAGCTGAATGTCTGCACTGTCTGTGTCCTGAAACCAGCAGGTGGCTGTCTCTGCAGGCAGCCCACGAACATCGGACAGGAGATGCTCCACCCCATAATCAGAAGCCACACTAACGAGGCTCTCACACCACGGTGCCAAGTCCTCTTTCGTGAAAACTTCAAGGCGAGCAGAATGCAAAAGCGCACGCAACTTACGCTGAAAGGTTGCTGCCCCAAAGCCAATCAAAACAGTGGGCAAGGCATGTGTGCGGATTTTGCTTCTCAGATCACTCATGAGCATCTGTTCCTGCTCCAGAACAGCGTCATCATCAAAGTTGATTGCATCATCATCTTCCCGCAACTGACACAACTGCACCAAGTTTTGCAAAATCGATGGCAAATCTGACTTGGCAACGCTCTGCAACAAACACATTTGGTAGTCTCTGCCAAACTGCGGGGAGGAGTCCCACATGAGATACCTGAGTTGGTCTGGAGAAGTGCGGTTATATATGCGTTGCTGAAGCATGAAGCCTGCGTCGATCGTCAAGTGCGCACGGCTGACTCTACCTTTATCAAATTTTTGCACCTTGTTCTGCAACATATTTGCTGCCAGTTCATGCAAATCCTCGGGCAAAACAATTCTCAAGCTGCGCTGCATAACATCTCTCAAGTCCGCAGTGTTTCGAATTTTCTCAGCTAGCATTACCAACTCAATCATCTGCATGAAAACTGCCAAGCGATCTGACCTTGAATACATCTGCATGGAGTCTTCCCTTTCTTGCAAGTGGCCCACCCATTGAGCAAGAATTTGTTCCTGCCCAGGCAAACCTGATTCCAAGCAGAATCGCAAATCCTCTGCCAATTGCCCGCAATCCTGCAAATGAAAAGCATGACACAATTCAACGTCAGGCCGGATGAGGTGCGCACGTGCTGCTTCAAAAGCATGTTGCAAGTCAGGATTGAACCTGCGTCTCAACCAGCCAGCAGGGGTCCACCATCCTTGTGAGTGGGGTGAAGGTAAAATCAAAACATCCAAAGCTTTGTGCACGCAAAGCATCACAACCTCTTCAGGGAACATCGCAGCTACATGCATGCCATCCTCTTCACCCTCTTCTCTGCTAAGCTCTGAATCCATCCAGTCCGGCACTTCAGTGCACTCAGCGGAAATCTCCCTCATGGATATGCAGTTGACGACAGTGTACACTCTGCTGAACCGCTTCGGAATGTACTGCCTAGCAGCCAATGGTTCCGGAAGAGCTGCTGCGCGCTCGATATGAAAACACCATAAATCTGTCGGAGACACACCCATTGAGCGCCAGTACCAATATTGTTCTCGCTCCAACTCTGAAATACGAGCAGAATGACTGTATGCGAAGCCCACTGAAACATCAACCATTCCATAGATATACGGATCAAGTCCCCCTAATGCACTGAGCTGCCTGTCTTGCAAAGCAGAAGAAATCTTCTCAGATTTCACCTCACGCCGGATCTGCCGACGTGCATGCTTGCCATTCTGAAAAGGCAAAGGTTGGGGATCATTGCAACGTCTGGCATTCTTGCCTGCAATCAAACATAGCAGAACCATTGAAACGAAAGAAGCGGAGAGCTTCGCCATCAAGCAACCATGACCCAATGAGGTGAGGCTGCTCTGTTCATTTCAGTATCTTCTGACAACTGCCATGTGTTTGCAGTTAAGATGTCAAGGTGAAGGTCACGGTGAAGGTCTGCCCTTTCGATCTATTCCTGTGGACAACAATCAACTTATTGGAAGGGGCCCAATATATGTCGTTACTACACGCTCCTGTGTTCCATGAGGCAGGAACTGGCTTTCGGAAAAATATTGAAACCACTGCGCATGCTCAAGCGAAAACTCAAAACTCAAACATGTCCGGAGATTTCCCAAAAAAATGCTTCAAGTCTCTCTGGATCTCTCGCTCTGGTTTCTGCAAATGAACATGTGACTGCATGATTCTGCACCGGCCCGCAAGCAAGTTGTGCTGAGGCGATTCAAGTTTGAACCTCCATGTGGCCCTACCCGGAACCCCTCATTTTGGGAAAACTCCATCCTGTCCCCACCACCCCAACTGCCCTGGTCGTTTCTTCCTGCCCAAAGGTTTCAAATGGTTTGAAGATGCGCAAAGCTGTTCTCTGAACCCTGGCAACTGAAGAAATCGAAATGCTGACATGTGTTTTCCGAAATGATACAAGCATGCAAGAGAAACAGGTGTGCACTGCTGCTGTTTGTTTGACGTGAGGCTTCAGGCTTACGCCCGCAGGATGCACACGCGGAGCTTCCGTCGTGTACATTGAGCCAAAATGCTTCTGTACAACACCGGAGACCTGCAATGATGCTGCCGGTGCCAGAAACAGCTGTACACTGAGCCAAAAATGCCTATACACAATGCCGGGGACCCGCAATGATGCTGCTGATGCCAGAAACAGCTGTACATCGAGCCAAAATGCTTCTATACAACGCCGGAGACCCGCAATGATGCTGCTGATGCCAGAAATAGCTGCATGGCAGCCAACACACCCTGACGCCAGCGGTTTCAGCCAAAACACCAGGACTGCCCGTGCGCGAAGCCATTCGGACAACTTACCACCCTGATGCGCGTGTCTCAAAACTCTAAACCCTAAAAACCCTAAACCATAAAAATCTTCAACCCTAAAAAACAACCTAAACCCTAAAAACCCTAAAGCCTAAAAACTTTAAACCCTACAAACTCTCGGCAGTAGGGTTGTTTAGGGTTTTTAGGGTTTGAGGTTTAGGGTTTTTAGGGTTTAGGGTTTTTAGACAGGCGAATCAGGGTTTCAGGGTTAAGGGTTTTGGGGTTTAGGGTTTTTAGGGTTTAGGGTTTTAGGATTTAGGGTTTTTAGGGGTTAGGGTTTTTAGGGTTTAGGGTTTTTTGGGGTTTAGGGTTTTCACGGTTTAGGGTTTTTGGGTTTAGGGTTTTTAGAGTTTAGTTTTTTTTAAATAACGGTTTAGGGTATACCCACG